CTGTGGAATGTGAGTGGTGACTGAGTAGGAGAGGATGCGGGAAGAGGCTGGGTGAGTTCAGCTGTTGGCGATTTCACGCCATCTCCTCAGCCACTTCTTGGGGACAGGCCCCAGCCTAGGGGCCCAGGTGCTGATGAAGGTCAGATTTCGGTAGCAAGAGAATAAAAGGAGATTTCCTTCGGAGGGGGGCCCTCTCCCTGCAGAGAGAACTGCAGCTGCCTCTCACACATACTCTGGGATTAGGCTAAATCCAACAGCAGGTGGAGGGCTGGGAGGGGGGCTCCCAGTTAGGGTCCTAGAGTGTGGGAAGGGGCAGACAGTGGTGGTACACACCTGAGTGTATCTGTTCCGGGGGGTGAGTCTCCTCCACCTGTCCCTCTGTTCAACTTTTTACTTCACCTCTGTTCTGCCTAGTGCTGCCCTGGATGGGAGTTGGGGGGGCAAGAACAGTGACTGCTAACCTGGATCAAGGGCTACATGAACATGGGGGGAGCAATGCAAGAAGACTTAGAAGATTGGGGGCAGTTTTTCTTGGGAGCAAAGAAGGTGGGGACAAGGGGCTAGATTTTCATGGAAAACCTTTTGTGTCATTCAAGTTTTTGTTTCAGTTATTTAAACCATGAATACAGAATGCCTCTTTAAAATGTGGTTCTCAAAGTGTGGCCTCAGACCAGCAGCATCTGCATCCCCTGGGAACTTGTTAGAAATGCAGATTTCCAGGCTTTACCTCAAACCTGTGTGTGTGTGTGCCTAATTGCTCGGTCACGTCTCACTCTTTGTGACCCCGTGGACTGTAGCCCGCCAGGCTCCTCTGTCCATGGGGATTCTCCAGGCAAGAACACTCAAACCTACTAGACACAAAATTCTGGGGTAGGACCCAGCAATCTAAACTTTTCAGGTAATTCTGATATATTCTAAAATTTTAGAACTACTGATTTTTAACCAGCACCAAGGCAGTGCTTGCTTCCTGGGGATCACACTTTGGGGAAAGGAGATTCTTGTGAGTATCCTATTCTACAGCAATGAGAGCATGAAGTGGGGCCCAACTTGGAAGGAGGCCTTGGGGAGGCTGCCCCCAAAAATGAGGTTTAAATGAGATCTAAAGGGAGGAGCTTGGCCAGTTAAGTGGGGGAGAAGAAGGAATAGCCCACATGAGGCCCTGAGGTGGCAGAGATCTTCATTCATCTTCATTCACGGGGCTGGAGCTCAAAGTGCTGGGCCAAACACCTCTGTGCTTAGGTGTCATGAATGACCATCCATTTGTGTATGTGGACATTCCACTTCTGCTTCGTGGAAATCCAGAGCCTCTCCTGGTCCTCGGAATGACTGGGCCACCAGGGCTTTGGGAACGATCCCTGCAGTGGGAAAGGCACCTGGTCCCAAGCACTGATTCTCTCATTGCCCCCATGCGACCTTGGGAGGAGGAGGAAATGGCAACCCACTCCAGTATTCTTGCCTGGAGAATTCCATGGATAGAGCCAGGCGGGCTGCTGTCCATGGGGTCACACAAGTCAGACACGACTGAGTGACTAACAACCTCGGGCCAGTCACTTCCTCGTTCCGAGACTCAGTGTTCTCATCTGGGCAATGGGGACAAGCATGCCTTCCAGGGAAGGGATGCCATAAAGAAGGCATGAGATCATGGCAACCCAGACCTGGGGGCCACTCCCTCTTAATCCATGTAACAATAGCCAATTTTGACTGAGCATTTCCAACCACTCTCCACGGCATGTTGTCATTCCCATGTTTCAGGCTCAGAGAGGGTAACTTCAGTCATAGCTCAACACCCTCCCAACCCCCTTACCAGGGCCAGCTTACCCCTCCCTCCCAGGCACTGAGTCCCTCACCGCAGTCTCCTGCCTCTTGGCTCTGGCTTCTGAGACCTGAGTGGCTGTCTGTCAGTTGCTCCTACCAGAACCTTTGGCTGACCCAAGCAGCCAGCAAGTGGCAGAGTCCGGAGGTGACCCAGTGCTTTTCGGACAGGCTCTTGTGGTTGTGGGGGGGTGGGTGGGCACTAGCTCAGAAGCTGCTTGGAACCCAGGCAGACCAAGGGTGTCAGCTCCAGATGCTGCCATGCTGCCCAGAGCGGGTTTGGGGGAGGGGAGATGGAGCAGCAAAGCTCGCACGGGGGAATTAATAGCATCTGTCTCATTCTGACATGGGACATGAGGAATGTGGAAAGGCCCCAGTAAGCACGTGCCTGCCAGAGAGGCTAGCAGGGAGGGGGCACAGGGAGGGGCAGCTGAACCCCTCTGGGACCCCAGGACCTACCAGGCAGCAGCTGCCCCCATCACTCTGATGAGTCTCCCACATACACGGGACCTGCTGGGAACCTGGTGTGGGGGATCAACTGAGCTCTTTCCTTAGACCCTAATCCTTATGACCCTGGGGCCCATCATATCCTCAGTTTCTCTACCATTAAATTGGGAAAACCAATCTTTATCTGGGCTTCCCAGGTGGCGCTAGTGGTAAAAAAAAAAAAAACCCGTCTGCTGATGCAGGAGACATGAGAGACTTGGCTTCGATCCCTGGGTTGGGAAGATCCCCTGGAGGAGGACATGGCAACTCACTCCAGTATTCTTGCCTGGAGAATCCTGTGGACAGAGGAGCCTGGCAGGTTGCAGTCCGTAGGGTCACAATATCTGGCAAGGCTGCGATGAGGGAGGGTGGCGGGCCTCTCCCTCCACTGTGCTGGGCCTAGCACAGCAGTGGGCTCATGGTGGGAAAGTGGAAAGTGGGGGTTCTCATTTGCCCCTCCCTTGTCCTTACGCACTGCTCTAGCCTCCCAGCCCTTTCCTTCCCTGGGTGGGCTTTGAGGGATCTGCCTGTCCTGTGTTTGACTAGGTTAATGAAGGACAGTCACTAGCCAACGACTTCAGTGGGAGATAGGGGCTCAGTCAGAAAGTTTGGAGGACTCCTGGGAGCCAGAGGGGGTTCTTGAGTGCAGGAGGAACATAAGCCAAAAGCTGCTTTTGGAAGCTGTCTGTGGAGCCACCTGCAAGGGAGTAGGAGGGAAGGGGATGGAGGAGACCCTGGACAGGAAGGAGACCCTTTGAGGCAGCCCTGAGACTCAGGGATGCGGCAAAGGCCAATTTCACCAATTCTTAGGGAAACAGCATAACCCACATGAACTCTGCAGGGCATCCTTCCCCAAGCATGTGCTCACCTTAGACTCATTTCACCTTAAACCCTAACCCCTGGAGGTAAGCAAGCAGGAGTACACCACTCGTATGGGTGAAGAGTGATGATCAAGCAAGTGAGAGCGGTGGCCATGGGACAGTGGAAGTGGCAACTCTGAACTTCCTAACTCCAAGTCCAGGGACTCTCATTCCCCTGGGGAACAGGGCTCCTGAGGGAAAAGAAGTGGTCAGGGAAGACTCCCTGGGTTTTTCTCTGGCGTCTTCTCTAAGATGGGGGCTCCTGGAGGAGGTACAGTTTTGTGGGGGAAGATGGGACATAGTGAGGCAAAAAGGGCACAGAAATAGGAAGAGGAGACAAAGAGGAGACCTGGAATAGGAAGTGTGGCTGCTGCTCCGTCTTCCAGGATGGCCCTAGTTCCAAGTCCTTATTCCTAGCCCCTTCCAACCCTGTTTGTACTTTCAGCTACCATCCCCTAGAGGTTCCGGGGGCAATCCAGGAGCTTCCACCAAGGGTCTGTCCTGGATGGGAGCTCCTGTTTCAGCAGGGCCAGAGAGAGTGCCAGGTACTGGGTCAGGTACCTCCTCTGCGGATTCGGGGGCTGAAGAGCAGCAGTGACTGCTGTGATGGAGCCGGAGAAGGTTCCAGGCTTAGAGCCCTGAGAAGCTGATCCCTCCAACCTCCCCCAGAGGGTGTTTGAGAACAGGGCCATGACGGCCTCCCCAGGGGAGGACCAGGCAGGCAGGCAGAGACAGCTGCAGCCCAGCCAGGCGGCGACCAGCTGCTGCCTGGGAGACTGGCCAGGGTGGGGCGGGGTGGGCACAACCCCCACCCTGAACGGCAGAGCGTGGGAGCGGGCAGCAGCCTCGAAGCTGAGTTTCAGGCTTTCACGCTGTGTTAACGGTCAGCTTGGTTAATGCTGAGCAGATGGGGGCGGGGCGCTGCCAGCTCCCATGGGGACAGTCCCAGGGCACGTATGCACATAACGCATGTGCAGAGGGTACAGGAGTCCCGCCAAGTGGATGGTGCCGTGTGGACTCACCTGCCAGTTAGCACTCGTTCACACTATCATATATCCGACGAGGCTGCTGAGACAGACAAACCAAGACAGAGGGGCAAAAGGCTCCTGGGTCCACCCTGAGGCAGCTGGAGGTGGATATCAACCCAAGGCCTGGCGTGGAGCCCTCCGTCTGTGTCATCCCCAGCAAAACTCCCAGCTCGGGGATCTCTCCACCCTGTTCCCCCTCCATCTGCTCTGGGGAAGACACCAGACAGGCACACAGAAGTTTATTTCAAGAAAATAATTTATAAAAGATCATTTGCTTCTGTGTTTTGGCAGGCTCCCATCCTCTCAGCCAGCACAGGGCAGTGTGGGGATGGGGTGGGCACGAGGGCTCCTTCCATCAAGATGCTGGGACAAGCAGCAGAGGGAGGCAGGGGAGGCCTGGGGAAGTGGGGTTCAGAGGTCTAAGACCTCTCTTGGTATGGGGAAGTGGGGAGGTTTAAGACAGCCCTGCAGCCAGGTCCAACCAAAGCCCCAGAACAAGGACGGAGTGCCAAGGCCCAGAAGTCTAAGCAGAACCTTAACAAGTCATTAGAACCCTGGGGCCATGACTCCAAAGAACAGGGCCTTGAGACTGGGGTTGAACTCTGGCTTGAGGCCCAGAGGCCAGAGAAGAAAGTCTCAAAACTAGGGTCCCCAGGACCAAGGACCAGACCTCCCCCAAACAGAACCTGAGATCTGGGACAGTACCCTTAGGTCAGGGTCTGGGGCTGTCAAGGTCGAGCACCACCTGGTTGCAGCTGAGCCAGGAGGCCCAAGGCTGGCAGCCGACCTTGCCCATACAGCCTTGTGCTCCTGCTCACGTCTGCACCCCGGGGAAGGAGAAGGAGCTGGGCCTCAGTGGCAGGGGATCGTGGCTGAAGACAGAGTCGCTAGAGGAGCAGGTGCTGCTGGCGTCCCCGCCGGCAGGGGAGTAGGGTCCGAAGGTTAGGCGGAGGTCGAGGTACTGTGGGGAAGAGTGCTGGTCAGCCCTGGTGGTCAGGTGGGATGAGGCTCAGAGGGCGGTGGGCATGGGGGGAGCGGCCTTGAGACCAAAGGGGCGCAGTACCTCCTCAGAGACGGCCAGCAGGACCTTGTCCAGCGCCTCCACCAGTTGCTTGAAAGTGGGCCTCTGAGAGGGTGCTGCATGCCAGCACTCGCGCATCAGCCCGTACCTGGGGGAGGGGCGGGGGAGGGTCAGAAGGAACCTGGGGCCTAGCTGAGGGTGTGTGGCGAAGGGGTAGGAGGGTTTGATGCGAGGTGAGGCCACTCAGTGGAAGAGTACCCTGCCAGGCCTCCCCTGCTGGGCCGAGGAGGTGGTGACACGAGTGAGAGCTGACCACTCTGTATGAGCGGACCGTGAGGTCAGGGTTAGGGCAGAGAATGAGGACTGGAAAGTTAGGGGGAGTGGGGTGAGGCCTCACAGCTCTGGGGGGCAGTGTGGGGGCCGGTCCATCCGATGCCCCTCTCGTAGCAGCGAGAACAGCTCCTCCACGGGGATGCCAGGGTATGGGGAGCCCCCGAGGGTGAAGATCTCCCACAGCAGGATTCCAAACGACCACCTGGATGGAGGCAGAACCCAGGCTTAGCAAGGTACAGCTTCACTTCCTAACCCTGCGGCTAGGATGGGGGACCCCACAACTATGATCCACCATGAGGGTGGGAATAAGGGCTTCTTTTAGAGTCTGGTCCTGCTCAGACCCAGGGCAAGGGCTTTGGAAGGACAAAGGTTGCCTACAGATACATCCCAGGCCCCAGCTTCCAGGACTCACACATCACTCTGGTGTGTGTAGACTCTGTCAAACAAGGCCTCTGGTGCCATCCACTTGACAGGCAGGCGGCCCTGGAGGGAAGAGGGTACGCTGCTGCCAAGGGCCATGGGTCCCAGCACCTGGCCCCAACCAGCTCCGCCCCGCCTTCCTTACGTTGCTAGTTTTCTTGTAGTAGTCAATGTGGTGGATGCCACGGGCCAGCCCGAAGTCGGCAATCTTCATCACGTTGTCCTCGGTCACCAGCACATTGCGGGCAGCCAGGTCCCGGTGGATGCACTGGGGGCGGGGCAGGGGTCTTAGATTGAGGACACACAACTGGGAACCTCACAGCAACCCAAAGGGTGGGGAATCATCCACCCATTTTACAGATGGGGAAGTTGAGAGAGGGGAAACGTAAGCCACCCCTTCAGGGCCCACACCTTGTCTCTTGGACCGCCTCTTCCTGCCTGTGGGGTAGGAAGGAATGGGAACATGCAGTGTTAACTGCATAAGGATGAGGCAGTACAGAAGGGCTCAGGGGCACTTAGAGTAAGGAAAAGTAAGAGGAGAGAGGGAGAAGTCGGGGGCATTTAACACAGGGCATGAAAGTGCGGGGATGGGTCGTTACCTTCCGTGACTCCAGGTACTGCATGCCCCGGGCCACCTGGTAGGCGCAGGAGACCAGGGCAGGGAAGGAGAGTGGCCCCTCGCTGCTCCGAGGCCCGTCAGGGCTGAGGTCGGGGCCTGGGGGGCGGCGGGCCCGTAGGAACTCCCGCAGGTTGCCCTTGGCAGCACACTCCACAATCACGTACAAGGGCCCTGCAGAGGAGAGGGGTGACAGGGAAGCTGACAAGGCTGTGGCTCCATGCCCCCACCGTCCCCACCCCTCACCCCGCCTCCCTCCCACCTTCCTGAGTGCAGACACCCAGCAGGTTGATAATGTTCTTGTGTCGGCCAATCAGCTTCATCACCTCCATCTCAGAGACCAGGTCTGCCAAGTCCTTGTCGGAGGCATTGTCTGTGAGGATGACAGCCAGAGTGATTACACAAGGGAGGCTTTGAGTTGGGGACAGGACATGGAGCCCTAGATTCCATGCCAAGAAGGTCTGGGCCTGAATCCCTGCTAGGCTGTGTGCCCTTGAAACAGTCTCTTAACTTCTCTGAACCTCAGGATCATCTTGTATGAAATGGGACGATGGATCATGCCCTACTCTCATAGCAGTTGCAAGGATGCAACAAGATCAGGATATAAAAGTGCTAGGCCTGCCAGTGAGTGCAACCAGGAAAAAGGAGGGAGGGGAAAGAGCTCTGAACAGGAAGGAAGCTCCATCTAGAGGACTTGGCATTAGTCCCTGAATGGGGTGAGAGCTCCTGGGGGCGGGAAGTGGGCTGGCGCCCTGGGGTCTATCTGACCAGGGCCTGGCGTCCATCTGGCCTGGGAGTTCAGGGAGCTGCTGGTAGGCGCAGCCAGGGGAGGCCAGGAAGAAGCTGCTCTAGTTTCTCTTGAGAAGGCTAAGGACCAAGGACTGAGCCCCTGGGGCTGACCTGTGGCCCTGGGCCAATGACATACACTCCCCGCCAGACCTCACAATGCACATTTCTCAATCCCTGCCTCCCAGAAAGTGCCAGGTGGCCCCAGCTGTGCAGAAAGGAGGGGCTGGCGGGAGTGCAACAGCAGTTTGGGCCGCTTTTGTAGAGAGGGCTGGGGAATAGCAGCGAGAGGCCTCGATGGTGGGTCCTGCCTGGGTGTCCTGAGCCCCCGGGGGCTGCTGCTTGGGCTGTTCTCTGAGAGAGCGGTGGACACAGGGGGAGATCTGGGAAGGGCCTGGGGGAGACTGAGGGTGCAATCTGGGGGGAATCATGGGGGATGAGGTGGAGGCCTTCAAGGCTAACAAGGTTATTTGAGGTCAAAGCTGACACAGGGTAGCAGACCCATCACCCTAAACTCTTGTGGTCACCATCATCCCAGTAGTGAAGACTTTAGGCGTCATTTTCCACCAACCTCAGGCTGGGAGGTGGGGACTATTATTTATCCCATGTGACCTGTGAGGAAATCGAAGCTCAGAAATGACTTGCCAGGGTCGGTGGCACATTTGGGCACTGGGCCCAAGGCAGTGGCAGGGGGATTGACAACCTTTCCTGGTCCTCACCCACTAGCTGCCTGAGCCCTGTCTGTTACTCCCACGGTCATAGGGTCTCCCACAAGCCGCCACACTCACCCTTAAGCATCTTGACGGCCACCGTGCTGGCTTGGTCCGGCCGGGTGGGGTCCATGCCGAAGGCCTCTGCACACACCACCTGCCCAAAGCAGCCCTCGCCCAGAGGCTTTCCCAGCACCAGCCTGGAGATGACAGAGACAAGGCCTCAGCCACCGGGCATCACTCCTGCACAGGGTCTGATCCCCACCCTCACTCGGCATGGCATACCTGTCCCGGGGGAACTCCCAGAGTGGGTCAAGAGGCAGGTCGAGACTCACGAGGCCAGCGAGCAAGGGGGGGCCGCTGGAGGAGAGACGGACACCCCGCACCAGGGACAAGCTTGACTTGGCTGAGGAGCCTGACTCCAGCGAGAACTGCAAAGTGAGAGACTTGGTCGGTCTGCTGAAGCTGAGCTTGGGCAAGATCATAGGCCCTGAGCCTTTGCCATGGGAACATGGAGGCGGGGGACAGCACGGTGGATACCTGTCGGGCCAGAGGGAAGCGAGACAACTTCTGCACGGTGGCGGGCTGTCGGTGGTGTCGGGTGAGGAGCATCTGCCTGCGATATAGCCCGACCAGCAGCAGGAATACGATCAAAGCCAGAGAGCCTGATGAGTACAGGATGATATCCGTGTACCTGCCTTCGGGTGCTGTCGCTGTCCATGTGAGGTCCTCCTCTGCCCGCAGATGGACACACGGACAGAAACTGATTGGTCAGTTAGTGGTCAGATGGTTGGCCCCACCCCCCTCACTGAGGCCCTTGTAGCTCCTCACACAGAGAGACACACACCAGTAAAACTGCACTGATACCCCGTCCTGCATACCCACCGACTTCCCTGGTGGCTTAGACAATATAGAATCTACTTGCGATGTGGGAGACCTGGCTTCGATCCCTGGGTTGGGAAGATCACCTGGAGGAGGGCATGGCAACCCACTCCAGTATTCTAGCCGGGAGAATCCCCATGGACAGAGGAGCCTGGTGGGCTATAGTCCATGGGGTCACAAAGAGTCGGACACGACTGTGTGATTAAGCACAGCACAGCACTGCATACCCATGTCCCAGAGGGTCGCACAGTCATATGTGGACATGGGTAGCAGGATTACTCTATGCAGAATCCCAAATCCACACGCCACATCCCAAAGCCATATCTCACAGACCAAGGAAGACTCTCTCTACCCAGCAGGTCAGAGCCCACGGCTGGACCACAGCAGGAGCTCACCTGGCAGCACCGTGAGCCAGGCCGACTGGTAGGAAAGGCCGATGGAGTTGCCCGCCAGGCAGGTGTACTCGCCTGCATCCTCAGCAGACACATTCCGAAGGTACAAGACCTCCACCTCTGAGCTATTGATGTCCGCTGTCTGGGGATGGGGGATACACTCAGGGGTCCCAGCAGGGCCTGGGGTCCCGCTGTGGCCAGGAAGCCAGGTGGGGACTCCCCACCCCCGTGGGAGGATGGTGGAATCAGGTGCCAGCAGGGACTAGACCTTTAAGACTTGCACATAGGGGAAGCCGTCAGCACCGAAGCTGCTGCCGTTGATGACGATGTGCTTCAGCCACTGGATGTGGGGCTGGGCGTCACTGTACACCTTGCAGAGCAGCTCCACGTCACTGCCCACCACAGCCGTGGTGTTGGCCGGGAGCCCTGCCTGCAGGATGGGCCGGTGCGGGGACCGCTCTGGGGGTGAGGCCAGGCCAGGCTGTCAGCCCTGATCAGTGGCACCTACCTGCCTCCTGCCTACCCCCCATCTCAAGGGAGGGACCTTCCTGATACTCAGCTCAGAACTTGTTCATCCCCTCCTTATACCATTCAAACCTTCCGTGGCTCCCCATTGCCTTTGGGGACAAGGATAACTTCTCAGCCAAGCACTCAAAAACCCTCCAGGCTTGGCTGTCTGCTTAAATCCCACAACCCAGGCATATACCTCCCCACAGAAGCTTTGTATTCTTCACGCCTAGGGCCTTGGCTCTGCCTGTGTCCTCCGCCTAGAGGTCTTTCCCATTTCCCCACCTCAGCTGGGCCCTGCTTCTCCAAGCCCACGTTACTCCCTGCGCTTCCCTCGGACCCACCTGGTCACTTTGAGTAGCTTGAGTGAGTCGCCTAAGACTAAGTGCATCTGGCTCGTCAGACTGGGTCCCACCCGAAGACAGGGACAGGGCTCCCACCCCCTCGCCACCTCACCCGCCTGCCCGCCCACTCACCCAGCACGTCCAGTAGGTAGCTGTAGCGGATGCTGCCCAAGGAATTCTCCACGAGGCAGGTGTACGTGCCACGGTCAGAGGGCACCACGCTTTCCATCACCAGGCTCCAGTGCTGATGGCGCAGCTGGGGAGCAGGCAAGTGTCCATGAGAGGCCACCGAACCACGCCCACAGGGGTCTTCTCCAACTCTAAGCCCCGGGGAGACCAATGCCAAGGGTAGGGACTTTGGGACAAAGGAGAAGGTGCCCAAAAGTATCCAAACCGCTGATTTGAGTCTTTTGAGTTTTAGCTCTACTTCTTCCAAGCTGGGCCCCCTTGAGCCAGTTTTTGCCCTTTCTGAGTCTCAGCTTCTTCTGAGACTACAGCTTGGAACTGAACCTGTTGTGGTCTCATCATGAAAATGAGCCGCTAACACACTGATACCTGCTGGTCAGTGATCCTTCCCACTTTACTCATGGAGTTGCTAAGGTCGGCGGGTTAAGTCACTTGCCAGGGAGTAGCAAAGTGGGAACTTGACCCAGAGTTGTCCATGTCCACGGTCTAGTGGCCCTTCTGGGGCCCTCGGCTGCCTTCCTCATTAGAAAAAGAGCTGTGGGTTTGACTTGAGGGCACCGATGAGGGAACCTGGAGACTCACCCGAATGCCTCCAATGCGATGCTCCCCGTGGAAGTCCTGTCCATCCTTGAGCCAACGGATGGTGGGCGTGGGGTTGCCTGCAGCTGGACAGCGGAACTTGACGGTGTTCCCGGCAGGCACCGCATGCAGTTTCTTCTCCATGCGCTGGGGGTGCGTCCAGTAGGGTGCTGAAGAGGAGGAGATAGGAGAATTCAGTGTCCACTAGAAGACCTCTTGTTCACACACTGATCTGTTCTCAGTGGCCAGCAGGGAGGCAGGGTCTTTGAGGACTCACACTGACCTTGCTGGGGGTAAATGTGCCCATTCAAGGGGCCCCTGTGGATCCTGGGGTCCTCATCGCCATTGCTGGAGGTCATGGAGTCTGTCCAGGACAGAAGGAGGCGTTTGAGGCCCAGGACAGAGAGTCTCTCTCCCCAGGCATCCCTTAGTCTCTGCTGGACCCCCTTACCGTCCACAACCAAGGTGACGTTCTGCAGAAGCAAGGAACCTCGTGCCAGGCAGAGGTACTGGCCAGCATCCTCGGGTAGGAAGCTGGCAATCTCCAAGCGGCCTCTCCAGCCTCGTACCCGGCCAGCAGGTGTCAGGCGACTGCCCTCCTTGTACCAGTGGCCACTGCGCTCAGCCCGCCCGCAGCATAACCGCACAGGCTGCCCAAGGGCCACCGTCAGCTCCTGCTCTTGCTGCTCCGGGCTGGGGGCCAGGCAGGGCTCTGTGGGTCAAGGGCAGAGGTCCGTGAGCGCTGCAGCCCCCTGCCTACAGAGAACATGCTGCACACACAACACGAGCACACTCGACACATGCGAAACACCTGCTGCCCCTTCACGGACACACAACCACATGCTACAGATGCTATCTGCAAGGCAAATGCCACCCCTCTGGTGCATAGCACACATACACGGTACATAGCATACATGCTGGACTGGACATGCCACTGTCTAAGGAATACACACACACACAAGGCACATGCTATACGTGCCACGCACAGGGCACGCACCATACCTCTGGGGCACATCACACTCACAGTGCATACACCACACATGCTGGTGGGGCCCCCCAAGTCCCACACGCCCAGTGCACAGAACACACACGCACACATACACACACGCACACAGCCAAGGGCTCACCACCAGCTCTGCGGCCCAGCTTGAGGCCCTGCACCCTGCAAGGCCAGTCCTCTCTTGGGGACACACAGATAGGTGGACGCTTGCTGGGAGCCAGACATCAAGTCTCCATGGCTGAGTCCTGCCCGGCTGCCACCTCCTCAGGGCCTGGGCCAGGATCCTCTCCAGCCGTGCTCAGCCAGCAGCTCCCTCCTGAGGCCCGCTCTTCCCTCCCTGGCCACCCTCTCCCTTCTCAGAGGCCATACCCAGCTCCGTTTCCTCAGAGGCCTCAAACGACAAAGCTGGAGCCCCGGGTGCCCCCAGCAGGACCCCCAGTAGGACCAACAGCAGCTGCATCTCCTTCCTGCTGCTCTCGGGGACCCAGGCTGGGCCTCCTATGACTGCCTTCCTGAAACAGAAAGGGCGAAGAACTCCTACTAGACCCACACCTTTGCTGCCACTCTGCTCCTATTTTGCAGATGAGGAAACTGAGATAAGAAATGGCTGGCTGACTTGTCCAAGCCTGACAGGCAGCGTCAGAGCAAAGACTGGAACCAGCTCTGCTGTTAACCAGAGCTCAAGGCTTCCCCATGGTAGGTTTAGTTGGGGGGGGGGGGGCGCTGGGAGGGGGCTGGGCTTCCTGCCCTTGTTGGGTCCTGCTGAGACCTTCCTTGGCACAAGTTCACAGAAAGGGCAGTTTTGGAATTCTTTGCTTGCTTGGAGGGAAACAGAGAATGGAGACACATCTTCTCCCTCTCAGCACACATAATTTATTTTTTGCTGAATAAATGTATTACTGAAGAGCCAAAAAAAAAAAAACTGAAATATAATACAAGGCCAAACTTCAGCATTTGGATGTTATCTGATCTGACCCCCCTCCTTAAAGCATTGCTTACATTTCCATGACCAGCTTCGGAGACCTATAGTGGCAGGGCGGGTGTGTGTTTAGTCGTTCAGTCATGTTTGACTCTTTGCGACTCTATGGACTGTAGCCCGCCAGGCTCCTCAGTTCACAGGGATTCTCCAGGCAAGAATACTGGAGTGGGTTGCCATTCCCTTCTCCAGGGGATCTTCCTGACCCAGGGATCAAACCCAGGTCTCCCACATTGTGGGTGAATTCTTTACCATCTGAACCACCCAAGAAGCCCTACAGTGGCAGGGAGCTGACTGCTAACAAAGCCATACATCCCATGGCCAGGAAAAATTCTGAGCCAGAATTGCATTCTGGGGATACTTCTGTTTTTTGTGCCCCTGCAAGTCCATCAGAGGTGAAAGCTCTTGTAAAGCAGGTAGACTGTAGTGTCTGACAGAGCCAACTTCAAATCCTGACTCTTACCAAATGCAAGTCACTGTCCCTCTCTGGGCTGCTGTCCTTACAGGACTGCTTTGAGGATAAAAGAGAACACATGTAGGGCTGGGCGCACAGAATGCTGCAGTGTGTTCTTCCCTTTCGCCTCTCCATGACTGTCATTCTGTGTCTGCCCTCAGCCAGTCACCTCCAATTCTGGTGCTGTTCCTGGCAGGTGTGATGTACACTCTCACCCCATCTAGGTACTCTCCTCCAAACACCATCAATGATGTCTCCATCCACCAAAAGGAACACTCAAACCCAAGCCTCAGCTGGCAGGGGAAGAGGGCGACTAGTATAATTCCAGGGGCCTGCTTGCTATCACCTGGCGCTAAGTGACAGGTGTCATTGATGTCTCTGCATCCACCTCACTCAGGTATCTCACTGCACCCCTTCTCCTCAGCCCCTGCTCCCTCTGTCCTGAGTTCTGAGGCAGGGGGCGCTTAAAAGCCAGCCAAAGCCATCATCTCCCCCTTCAAACAGTTTCTTCTCTGGGCTGCCCCCACAGCTGGGGCATCACTTGTCCAGCCCCTCTCCAGTCCATCTCACCTTCCCTGCCTGAACCCAGAGCATGCGACATGCGTCTCTAGCTTGGGCCTTTGCAAATATCTCCCTTGGTTCTCCAGTAGGGTTTTAGAAATTTATGAGCCTGTCATGTCCCCCCTGCTCAACACCCACCAGCTTACAAGCCCATAATGGCTGCCTGTGTGCGGCAGAATCCAGTCCACACCCTTTATCCAGCGCCCAAGGCCTCCCTCCTTGCCCCCGTCATTCTCATTGGCCACTCAGTCTGCTTCTTCGGCACTGAGAAGTCGTTGGCTTTCAGAACTGGGCATGTCTTCTCTCTTGCCCATACCTGTGTGACCCCAGTTCTCTACCTGGCTCAGATGCCACAATCTGTGCTCTGTCTGCGCCCACCTTTGGTTTCCATTGCCCTCCTCTGTGAAATCTCACTCTGCTCTGCTCTTCAAGGACGTAGCTCTCTGGGTTGGGAATGGAGTGGGAGGCCCAGGGATTTTATTCCCACTCGGGGGCTACCCTGACCTCAGAACCTTAGTTGGGTCACCCGCGCGGCTGACGGGACAGACTGCCCTGTACCTGGGGTTGAAGGGTCTGACTGACATCAGGTAGTCCTGGGTTCTCCAGCCTACCGCACTCAAGCGCTGGGAGAGCCTGAGCAAGTGACTGCACCTCTCGGAGCCTCAGCTTCCTCATCTCTATTCGAGGCAAGCAGACCGTCCAGCAGCCGAGGGACCAGCGCGCCCTTCCTCAGCCCCTATCGGGCCACCCTGGGGAGCAGGGCCAGTCGGCGGGTCTCGAAAGGAGCTGCAGGGACAGTCCGCCCGCCCCCGCCCGGGTGGGCAATGAGTAACCAGCTCCGCGGCCAGGGTGCTCTTTGGACGGAGCGGGACAAAAGGCCCTGTGTGCGCTACGGGTTACTGATTTACCTTGCCCTTCACCCCCACGCCGAGAGAACGCCCAGGTCCCTAGTGCTGGGAGGGGTCAGCTCCCGGAGCCCCGCTGCCGCTCGCCCCCTGGCGGCTGGGAGCGCAGCACGGGCCTGCACGAGGTCCCGCCTCACCTCGAACCTCCGTGGTCCCGCTACTGGCACAAGGTCCCGACTTACCTGGGTCCTCCGCGGCCCGGCTCTCAGCTCCCACCAGCCCCAACCCCCGCGCCCAGCGGAGACAGAAGACTGCTCGGGAGTTGCTCAGCCCCCAGCCGCAGAGCCAGGAATGCACCCGAGACAGCGGCGTGGCCAAGGGTAGCCCAGCGCCCCGCCCACCTCGGGTTTCACCTACTTCGGGCTCCGCCCCTCCTGGACCAACTCTGTATTAACAGCGGCTTGGCGGGGAACGGCCCAGCGCCCCGCCCATCTCGGGTCCCGCCCCGCCGGGACCAGCCCCTGACAGCTGGTGGTACAGCGTCTCGCGTACCTGGAGACTATTCCTCGAGCTCAACTGCGCCTGGTAGCCTAAGGGGTCTGCCCAATGCTGGCTGGCACACCCCTTCAGAGTCCGCCCCTTTTGCCCTACCTGGGCCAGGCTTCCGAGTTCTTGACCATAGCTCCGTCCCTTGCTCCTCACACCTCAGGGAACAAGACTCAGCAGTTCAGACCTGCCACCTCCCCAGAACTTGGCTTAGCCTGGCTCCTCTGTCTTCTGCACAATCAGCATACAATCGACCCTCTCTGCCCTAACCCTCATCCTTCTCTGCACAACCTTCAGAGTGATGTTTAAAATATAAATCTGGGGGCTTCTCTGGTGGCTCAGTGGTAAAGAATCTGCCCGACAATGCAAGACACTCAAGTTCGATCCCTTACCCAGGAAGATCCCACATGCCAGAGAAACAGCTGGATTTTTCCACACCTAAACAAGGCTCACCTGTGACCTGAACACTACACATCTAGCACTTAGGAAACAGCGTTGAAAAAGTGTCCAGACAAAACCTATCACACAATTATACACAGCAGCTCCACTTGTAACAGCTAAAAGAAAATAAAATATAAATCTGACTGTGCCAACTACAACCATCTCTTTAAAACTTTCCAGTAGCTTCCTGTAGAGATTTTTGGCCTGACCTGGCCCTGCCCACGTCTTCAGAGGAAGCCTTCCTTATTTCTTCCCTGCTCCCACCCTACCTCTGGGCCTTGCACAAATGGTACCGCTTCCTGAAATAATCTTTCTGCTCTAGGTCTGATTTGCTGTTGTTAAGTCATTAAGATGCAAACTTGGCTTAAAGCTCAACATTCATAAAGCAAAGATCACAGTATCTGGTCCCATCACTTCATGGCATATAGATGGGGAAACAATGGAAACAAGGACAGACTTTACTTTCTTGGACTCCAAAATCTTTGCGGATGGTGACTGCAGCCATGAAATTAAAAGACGCTTACTCCTTGGGAAAAAAGCTATGACAAATCTAGACAGAGCATTAAAAAGCAGAGACATTACGTTGTCAACAAAGGTCCGAATAGTCAAAGCTATAGTTTTTCCAGTAGTCATGTATGAATGTGAGTTTGACCATAAAGAAGGTTGAGTGTCAAAGAACTGATGCTTTCCAATTGTGGTGCTGGAGAAGACTCTTGAGAGTCCTTTGGACTGCAAAGAGATCAAACCAGTCAATCCTAAAGGAAATCAGTCCTGAATATTCATTGGAAGGACTGATGCTGAAGCTAAAGCTCCAACACATTGGCCACTTTTTCCAACTCATTGGAAAAGACCCCGATGCTGGGAAAGATAGAAGGCAGGAGGAGAAGGGGACGACAGAGGATGAGATGGTTAGATGGCATCACCGACTCTGGACATGAGTTTGAGCAAGCTCCGGGGGATGGTGAAGGATGGGGAAGCCTGGTGCTGCGTCCATGGAGTCCCAAAGAGTTGGACACGACTGAGCGACTGAACAAACAAAGCAAAACAGTCACTCAGTCATGTCCAGCTCTGCGACTGCATAGACTGAAGCCCACCAGGCTCCTCTGTCCATGCAAATTCCTGGGTAAGAATACTGGAATGGGTTGCCATTTCCTTTTCCAGGGTATATTCCTGATCCAGAGATCAAACCATGCCTCCTGTTAGCAGGCATATTCTTTTTTTTTTTTTTTTAGCAGGCATATTCTTTACATCTCAGCTCACATCCCCAGAGAAGCCTTCTGAACTTGCCAGGTTCTTCTTCCATGTCTTTTCTCCTGTGAGCATGAGAAAGTAGCAGGTAGTGAAGTGATTTAGAGCACAGACCGCAGAACTCAAATTTAGCCCCATCACACATGGCCTTGTCAAGTTACTCCATCCCTGTGTCTATGTTTTCTCATCAGTAAACCAGGTATGATATTATCATTCTTGAGAAGTGGTTGCAAAAAGTAGACATGTTCTTCTCACACACAACAGTAGGAATATAAATTCATGGGGCCCCTGTGGAAAACAGTATGGTGGTTTCTCAAAAAGCGAAAAAAAGAAACACCATGTGACCCAACAATTCCATTCCTGAGTATATATGAAAAAAATGAAAACAT